AGAGAGATGACTTTGATGGAAGTGCGGTGTTTCCCTTCTGTAAACCATACCCTCCAGAAAGCAAAGGATGGTGACTTGAGTCTTAGCCTTCAGTAAGGTGAGGACTCAACTATATCCCACTCTCATTCTGCCTTAACAAAGCAGATAATTCCTTCTAGAATTGAATTATCAGCACACGTATAGAGGCTAGAATTTACAATACATCACAAAAGGCCGAATGGTGGCTAGAAGGGCCATTTTACATTTTTGCACATCAGACTTGTGGCTGCAGAGGCAAATGTATCCAAGGTTGGCAAGTCAGACAGCGGGCTACTGATGACTTATGATCCACAGGCACTAAGACAAGCTATTGGCTCAAGTTGTGAATAAACCAGATACAAGATCCAATCCAGCACAAGCTTTTCCACAGCATGCATGTATACTGAAAGTAGGCCACATCTTGTGGCCTGATTATGGGAGATTAAAAGCACAATTCTGACTATGGTGTCCCTGTAGGGCAGCGTAGAATCGCACCTTTGGCTTTCAAAGCCAATGAATATTTATGGCAATGTAAGCCCTCCTCCTGACAATTGGCTGCTGAGTTCGAACTGTTGACTTTGCAGTTAGCAGCCCAGCCTTTAAACCACTATACCACCAGAGCCCCTTCATCGAAGATTTTCAGTGATTTTTCAGTTAAGACCTATTATTAATTTCCATTTAGCTTAGATAAATTCCCCTGGAGGACTAGAGGCTGGGACTCCTGACCCAGTCAAGTTGTCTCAATGCCTTCACATTCACAAAAATTAAGGGCTTTTTATTTATTTAATTTTTTTAACTTAAGTATGTAAGTTTTAAAACAATTTTGGAATAAAAGAGGGTGGAGTTTACGTATTAGATCTCTTTTTTATGCTTATTATTTTGTCAGATAATTTAGTAGGGTCTTTTAAAATTTTTCAATTGATATGATATAAAATGATTTTATGTTTATTGCTGCATGGCATGTAAACTTCATGATTATCACCTGAATGAACACAGTAGGAAGGAAGGAAGTGGGGAGGTGGCACCAGAAGACCACAGTGAACCTGGGAGAGCTACCCCACAGTGGGGCTGCTGTGTTTTTCTCGGTCTTACAGGTTCCTCACCTCAGTTGGACTGTGTATGAGTTTACTCTCTCTGGTAGATTTTCACTTTACACAGATTCAAAGATTTTGTGGGTTTTGTTGTAATTTGCAAGTCTCCATAAACACTAAAAATCATTCAATGCTACTTGGGTATCAAATCCAAACATTCCATGGTGATGGAAGTGATCTGCGTTTGGACCCGAGACTTTAAGGGCCATGGTGGTTCTGGGTTTTGCTTTTGCAAAGCCAATCTCTATGTGAGAAGTTCAACTACCTTGAGGCCATCATGTTGTAAAGGAATCAAACTCATCCTGTAAAGAAGCACCGGGGACCAGATATCTGAGCAGAGCTTTTGTATACTGTCCAGACCAGCTTCGTTGTCAATTGAATGCAACAGATTGCTGGCCTGAGCGGACACTGCATGAAACAGTCAAAAACAAACCCAAACCTTTGGGCACTGAGTTGATTCTGACTCGTAGCGACATTATAGGACAAAGTAGTACTGCCCCAAAGGACTTCTAAGGCTGTCCATTTTTATGGAAGTTAACTATCACTTTGTTCTCCTGCAGAGCACCTGGTAGGTTCGAACTGCTGACGTGCTTAACTACTGCACCCCACCAGATTTCCTTGGCACAAACCCTGTCCACATCTTTTGCCCAAAGAATGTATTCAATTATCTGAGTATTGTGAGTGATGCTGCCATGCTCAGTGTTGTAGAAAACAAATCATTGTTGTTTTATGTCACTAAATCTTGATGTAATTTAGTTTTGAAACCATAATTGGTACATCAGCCAACTGATTTTTCAAATACAGAGATTGACACCAATATGCAAGAACGCAGGAAATATTATTGTAAAAATGACAGCCTAATGGTGCTGTTGGACTTCCTTATTCAACTTCCCAAGAGGTTAAAGGATCCCTATCAACAGGCCAAGGCTGATTCCTGTGAAGTAGAAGTCAGATACACCTTTTCAACCTCTTTACCAGTTGTGACATCAGCTCTTCCTCATTCTTTGCTGGCCTCAGTAATGTAAAGCAATGAGCACACAGGATATAGTTCTTTGGTCACATCAGCCTCTTTGCCAAGTTTTATAAATTTCTTTAGTTCCACCAGTAAATTTCTGGAGGCACTCCACTCTTTTCAGTAAGTTTCCTACCAGAAGGTGATCAGCTCCCTTGCTATAATGATCTACACACCCACTGTGGCCACCTTTTTTTGGACCAGGAAGACCACAGTGCTGTCTTGGAAAGGTCTCCTATATTTGCCGCTGTTGTTTCTCCTCCATGCTTGCCATTGCTTTTAGCTGTCTCATTTGCTCGTGTTACAGCGCTCTGTCTTCTGGGTCTACAGATCCACTCCTGTTAGTGAGTTCCTCTCTGGTGCTTCTGGGACCGGTTCCCCTTGATCTTAGCAGGATAGCACACCGACCAGTCCCTTTGTTCCACACATCTGATTGGCAATATTAGCAATGCTATCCAATCCCCTTGGTGGGCTACAAGCAGCTTATTTGTGTAAGCATTCCTAGTAATTTTGTGAGAATCACAAGATCATGCAGGTATAGGTAGAAGGGGCATATTAAGTAAGTCACTTCATTGCATTTGCCCTTAGCAATCTATTATAGGATGTATTCCAGGCAATTGAAATAACTGAATAGCCATTGAAATGCTCAGATAATAAAATAGAATTAAAGTGTAAAAAGCGTGGGAAGAGCATGTGCAAATTTTAAAAAAAGTATTCGGCCACCATAGTTTTGGTTGTAGTGTTGGTTTTATTATTCAGATATTTTCTGTGTATTATGCAATAAGAATGCATACTTAAAAATTACTCACATTCTGTTATCCCACGTCTTTGAGAGGCTGTATTCTCTGTGTGGGAGAAATTATATACTTATGTAAGGTAGAGGATTAAACAAACACTCTGGCCACCTGCATTTTATTTGGAAATACCTACATCGGTATGAACTCATGATCAATTTTAATTTTATCTTAAAATATCACACACACGTACACAAATGAGAGGGCTTCACAGCGTGTGTTGAAAAATAGAATGGAAAGACAGTAGAGTTTTTCCCCTGAATATTTTGAAGCGCCTTCATATTCGCGTGTGGTGGTGTTGTCGGTTAGGACTTGGGCTGCTAACTACAAAGCCAGCAGTTTAATCAGCAGTGGCTCCCCAGGAGGAAAACGAGGTTGTCTGCTCCTTACAGAGTTACAGTCTTGTAAACCCCAGGGAACAATTCTACTCTGTCCTATCAGGTCACCATGAGTTGTCATTGACTCGATGGCAGTGGTGTTGGTTTGGTTGGGCATAGCTGTCCTTTTCAAGTGATGGGTTAACACAAATTAATATGTGATTCTAAGTCTGACATTTCCTAGTTATATAAAGCCCCGGAAATGAGCAAGCTACTTCCTGGAATGCAGTCTTGAAATGCCATTTCCTGTGAAAGACCAGGGCTCCTTGGAGAGACAGTTGATTCCAAGTATGGAATAAAAACATTTAAAATGTTCCTGAAACATATTTATACTAGAGACCAAGGGATCAGAATCCGACTTGAAGAGGTGTGGCTGGGGGGTTGAATCACTAACCATTCAATTAGCAGTCAAGGACTTAAGCACTGTGCTGCCAGGGCGCCATCAAACAGACGAAGATGTGGTTAAGTTTCTTTTCATAGAAGATGTTGTAGTCTAGCGAATAAAGAGGACGTTCTGGTGGCTTAATGATTTCTATGTTGGAATACTAACCAGCAGGCCAGCAGTTTGAATCCATCAGCTGCTCTGTGGGAGACAAAGGAGGCCTTCTCCTATAAAGATTTACAGCCTGGGAAACACACATGGGCAATCCTACTTTGTCCTCTAGGCTCGCTATGAGTCAGAATGAACTGTACGGCAGTGAGCTTGAGAAGGCAAATGAAGATGAGATGATAGAATTATAATGTCATTTTGTAACTTTATGTTGTAATGGATTTGAACATTTATTAGTGTAAGTGGTTGCTAACAACTTAAAACACACTATTAGGTAAGATGTATCACTAGGAAAAGATATCACAAAGCTAAGCACTGTGGCTGTCAACCTTGATTGTGCATTGTAACCAAGTGCTAATAGTAAGAAAAAAACATTGATGTTTGATTCAGTTCTCTCCCTAGAGATTCTAGTTTAATAATCAGGACGATATCTTGGATAGGAGCCTTGGTGGCACAATAGTTAAGCACTCAGCTGCTAATCAATGGGTTGGCAGTTCAAACCCATCCACCACTTGCAGGATAAAGATGCGGCAGTTTGCGTCTGTAAAGATCACTGCCTCGGAAACTCTTAGGGTCAGTTCTATTCCGTCCCATAGGGGCTGCTCTATGTTGAAATATGTTCAGCTGCAAGGAGTTTGCTTTTTTGTTTACATAGCTCCTCAGCCCCAAGTGTTCTATTTCTTTCCTTTTCTAACCATTTAGGATAAATTGGAGTTTAATGTAGATGGTAAATATGGTATTTCTCTTTTCCCGAGGGGATTTGATACTTTTAACGACCTGTGCTTATTTAGTTCTTCATATGTGGGGAGCAGAACAGGGGATATGCATCAGGTGTCCTCAAACTACTGCCCGTGGGCCACATGTGGCCCGCCGAGGACATTTATCCAGCCTGCCGGGTGTTTTTGCTCCGTTTGTTTTTTTTCTTCAAAATAAGATATGTGCAGTGTGCATAGGAATTTGTTCATAGTTTTTTTTTAAACTATAGTCCGGCCCTCCAATGGGTCTGTGGGACAGTGAACTGGCCCCCTGTTCAAAAAGTTTGAGGACCCCTGTTATGGGTAAATGAATCTTTAGCATCTAGGAAGAATTTACATAGCCAACAATGATAGTAAGACTTTATGGGTTGCCTGTCCTTATTTCACATTGCTATTTGCACAGGTTGCCTGTGATTTGCTCCGGAGAATAATACGCATCTTGTACCTCAGCAAGAGACTCCACGGACAATTGCAAGGCGGAAGCAGAGAGATAACAAAAGCTGCTCAGAGTCTCAATGAGCTTGGTAAGTCTTCTTTCAATGAAAGAGTTTTAAAGACTTACTTGATTTATGAAGTTGTATTAATCACCTATAACAGATACCTATAAATTTGCGTAAAAACTGACTATATCTGATATCATTGTTCGTTGATAACTTGGAAATGCCATTTATTTTCAACATGGTCATACAGTGGTAACCACTCATTTTTGCTCTTCAGTTCTATGAATTTTAACCCATGTATAGATTCATGCCACCATCGCCACCACTGTAATCTTGTATAGAATATTATTACCTCCCCAGACTCCCTCAGGTTTTCCTTTTATGATCACACCGTACCCTTCCTCTAATCTTGGCAACCATGAGTTTGTTTCCATCATTGTCTTCTTGAGGATTTCACTTCAATGGAATTGGATCGTGTGTATGCGTTTGAAGCTGCTTCTTTTACTCAGCATATTAATTCCCTTGGAGCTTCATCCAAGTTGTTGTGAACCGCTCGCTTGTTACTTTGCCTTTCTGAGTGTGCTTGCTCTAGTGTGGAAGTCACACAGTCAGTTTATCACATCGCCTGTTTCTAGTTTTCCGCCATCATGAATAGAGCTGCTATAAACATTTGTGTACGTGCTTTTGTGTAAACGTAAGTCTTCATTTCTCTAGGGGAAATACTCAGGGGATGCAGTTCATTTTAATTGACGGATTCCACGCTGATATTCTGATAAGAAGATTTACTTATTCCATTTCTTTATTCATCCATTCTTTTCTCAAACATTTAGAGCAGACTCATGGCGTTTAAGAGTTTGACCTTTATGGTTTTGCCTGTTAACAAGCTACAAGGCCCTTTGCAATGCAGTGAATTATTTAATATGGTTCTTCTAGTCTTAGCTTGTGTTACTCCCACTGAACAACCTTGGTTTTCCTGGTGGGGCTGGGTAAGAAGGTGGGAGTAGATACTGATGGCATGATATAATTCAACCTTGAGTGATTAACAGAGTTAATTGTGATTGCCATTTTCCTGGGTATAAAAGCAGCCATCTCAGAAGGAAGAAAGGGCATCTCACTGTTAGCAAAAGACAGGAGCCAGAGGTGGAGTGTGTCCTGTGGACCCACGATCCCTGTCCATGGAACCTCCTTGATCCAGGAGATAGCTTTGATACCAGGGGAACAGCAGCAGCAGACCCAGGAGCCAGAGTAGGAGACAGAACAGTGAGTTCCCTAGCCCACAGAGCAAGTAAAACTGAGTGCTTTTGGCCAGGATGTTTGTAATTAGGGGAGCTGGGTTGGCTGACCCATGGAGCTGCAGTTGGGTGCCTTTGGATTGAGGCTTAGAGTGGAGTGGCCTGCCCTTTTTTAACCATTTTATTGGGGCCTCATGCAACTCTTATCACAATCCATACATACATCAATTGTGTAAAGCACATTTGTGCATTCATTGCCTTCATTATTTGCAAAATATTTGCTCTCCACTTAAGCCCTTGGCATCAACTCCTCATTTTCCCCCTCCCTCCCTGCTCTCCCCTCTTTCAAGAACCCTTGATAATTTACAAATTATTATTTTGTCATGTCTTATACTGTCCAATGTCTCCCTTCACCCACTTTTCTGCTGTCCATCCCCCAGGGAGGAGGTTATGTGTAGATCCTTGTAATCAGTTCCCCCTTTCTACCCCACCTTCCCGGTATCGCCACTCTCAACACTGGTCCTGAAGGGATTATCTGTCCTGGATTCCCTGTGTTTCCAGTTCCTATCTGTACTAGTGTATGTCCTCTGGTCCAGCCAGATTTGTAAGGTAGAACTGGGATCATGATAGTGGCAGAGGGATGAAGCATTTAGGAACTCGAGAAAAGTTGTATGTTTCATCATTGCTATACTGCACCCTGACTGGCTCATCTCTTCCCTGGAACCTTTCTGTAAGGGGATGTCCAGTTGCCTACAGATGGGTACCCACTCTGTACTCCCCCTCATTCACAGTGGTATGATTTTTCGTTCTTTGATACCTGATAACTGATCCCTTCGACACCTCATGATCACACAGGCTGGTGTGCTTCTTC